CTTGTGCACGCGGATAGCTTCCGTCAACACCCCAGCCCTCGACGAGGCATCCCTCACCTGAAGGCTTCAATACTGCGACTTCACCCTCCAACGTAGTCACTTTCCCGCTCCATGCCGCAGCGGCCTCCGCCGCCTTAGCCTGGCCCTGGCGCTCACACTCAGCTGCAGCCCTCCTCCCCGCCTCGAGCTCCTCATCCTTCCGCCGGAGCTGCTCCTCGAGGGCACTCGCTCTGCCAAGTGCTTGCTGCATCTGTACCTCCCGCCTCACCAGTTCCTCAACCAAGGTCCGACTACGGGGATCATTCCTCAAGCGCACGCGCACCTCTCGGCATCAATCTCGGTAGCGGCGATACTTCTCCAGCGCCCTCAAAAATATCCCCGAGCGGACTCTGGATCTACGGATGCTCTCCATCTCCAACAAATAAGACTGCAAAGCAAAGACTAACGATTAAGATAAAGAACAAACTAAGACAAAAAAGAAGCGAACCGACGTAATAGTACATACCCTCAAGCCCATCACGGCCACTTCATTCATCAGTCTAATATCCGTAACGTCCCTCAACGACGCATTCTCGGCCTCCAAGCACAACATCTCAAACTGCGGGACCAAGCTACTCTCTTGGAGCAATAAGTTCAGCTCCGTGGGAACCTCGACGAAGCGAGACCGCCCCTCTGCGCGCACCGCTGAGTTGGTGAAGCCTTCTTGGAACATACGGATGTCGTCGGGGTCCAAGTCGGATTCAGACTCGTACTCATCTCCTACAGCACCCCTTCCTCCTTCCACCATCAGCGAGGTAGAACCACCCGCCGTAGCCACCGAAGGAGCGCTTGCCTCACCAACATTAGCAGCCACTGAGGAACTACCTCCCGTCTCATCGACTGGAACCACCAATTGAGTCGCCGAAGCGACGACATCATCATGGCATAAGCCAACCGGGGCAACCCCCATTGCATGTCCACCCTCAGGGTCAGGCGCCGCAGCTACACTCCGCTCCGCATCCGCCGGGGGGGGAGTCCAAATTAATTGCCGCAGGAGGAGCCGGCGTGAACACGACCCTACGCCTTATCAATGGCCTCTCCTACTCCCCATCTGATGGCGATTCCGCTCTAGGGCGCACAACCCCCGATGGCCCCTCGTCCCGAAGTGCGGCCCATGCTGGAGAAGGAGCCGCTGAAGATTCAACTGATGCCGCCCTCGGTATAGGGCGTGACACTGGCGCTGCAGTGAACCGAGCAATTGCACCCGGCCGACGGAAGGCCAACTGAGGAGCCCTGACGCGGCGTGCCCTCCCTGATCACAGAAAAACAAAGTTGATGAATAGAGTTGAGACAAAGCGAAACAGAAGAAGAAATCAATTTTTTACCTGCCACAGGCCTACGACCATGCCTCTCCCAGAAGGACGCCCATGTGCGTATCCCCACCGTATGGGGGAGCACGGCCTCAACCCGCTCGCGAATCCCAGCTAACGGAGCCGGCGGCAACTTTTCGGCTACAAAATTGATACGAGTTAACGTTTATGAGCACAAGACGTAAGGAGGGGCAGAAAAGGGAATTCGACGATTAGAAAACTTACGTGCATGATTCCAAGCCTCTGGGAACCTAGTAGAACACACCACTAAATGTTCAGTCCTGATGTAGAAGAAGTGCTCAAAAGGGCGAGGGTCGACCTCGTCATCCAGTTTTGCAGTCAGGCCCCTCGACCCACGAGGGCACGCTTGAATCATGGTACCGCGAACTCTTTGGGGAACGTAGAGACTAAGCACATGCTGCAGTGTAACCTCCCTACCGGCCAGTTCTGCATATTAGATAAACATTGCTAGCAATTTGTAAAGAGAAGGAGCAAGGTGACCCGGGCACACCCCGTAATAACGACAGAAATCAACCACCAGCATTGGGAGCGGGAGCTTAAACCCCAACTTGAAAGGATAGGCGTAAAAAACGCAATATCCCCTGCGGTTGGTGTGGACCCTCTCCTCGCTTCTAGCAAGAACGACGTCAGCATAGCTGGGATGACCCCTTGTTTCCGTAGTTGGGCCATCCCAATCTCCCCCATTAATGGGGCTTCATCCACCTGATCCTCCCCGCCATCGGCGGTGAAATCAGTCATCGGACCTCCGGGCAGAGATACTATCTCGTCAACCGATGGAGCGTCATCAGTCTCCACCAGTTCTGCACCGCCCATTGCCGGAGATGGCCCTTCAGTCATCGGAGAGTTAACCGGAAGATCCGTCGGAAGAACATTTTGGGAAGAACTGCCTGCCATTGTTGAGTCAATAACGAGAATGAAACAAAGTTTGAGGGACAAAGACGGAAGTTATATCAATCGAAGAACAAAGATGAAGGTGAATTAGCAGGAAGAAAAGCTTCTTCAGAATCTCTCTCTGGCAAACAATGAAAATATAAAAAATGTATGGGTCAGCCCTTATTTATAAGCAACACAAGTGGCTTTCACAATCCCCAATAGCCTTCATTAACTACATGACCAACCGCAAACCGATTCGGTTCTGCAGAAACACGCGTCGTTATGACAGGCTCCGTGAAGCGGCTCTTCAGTCGCCAACCGGCGTCTCACCTTCGAAACGGTTGCAACGACCCATGAACGCCGAGAGGATGTTCCGTGCGCCTTCAGAACGATGGACGTCGCCAAACACGTATCCAGCGTACCCCTACTCCCTTCGGCTGCACAACATATGACCCGTCCACCATGGTCGACGGTTACGCCCCCAAACAAACGTAAGGATCAGAGCACAACAAAGCTCGACCTCACTCGAATTAAGTTAAAGGGTCAAGCGCCCTCGCCAAGGAGGAGAGCTCGACCTCGATCGAACGACGACTTGATAGCACAATAACAAAACACTAACACTCTACAAGGCTAAGGGCCATCGCGAAAGGTAATTCGGCCTCGATCGCAGCGACGGTCGACCTCCCTATCCGAGTTTCTCAAACTACAGTCGATGGAATCCTCTCATCGAGCTCGGCCAAGGCCCGGCCTCAATAACCGGAGGGACTAACTGTATGGGTCAGAATCCGACCCCACGATAATTAACGAAGCTAATCCCGTCTTAAGCTAATTCATGATTAATTAGTGGTACGACCACTCAGAATTAACGATATTCAACCCTCATCTGATTCGATCAACAAGGCATCTGATTCGATCAACAAGGCCACGGACCATCCGCCACCATGAAGGAGAAATCCCAACGTGGTCACGACCACTTATTGCCAGCTCATGAAGCTCACAGCTATAAATACCAAGAGAGGAAACCCTAGAAAGGGAGCTCCTTCTTCGCCACTATTGACGAGAGAAAAAAGAGACAAAGATACCCATATTATGGGCAAGAGGAACACCATTGTAAGACTCTGAACCTCTTCATGGAGAGGCAGACCAAACCAATATTATCAATAAAGGCTTCTAATGTTTCTCCCCTTAACCCTGAGTACATATTTTCGTTTCCTTCATTTGGTCCAACGGATTATTACGGTTTGCTATGATTTTCCCGTGATTTATTTATATTATTTTATACTCATAAGGCATGTGATAACTTTTGAGCAAACAGATACACTTATAGTAATGTGAGGTATCTATGTGATCATTAGTTAAGTTTGAATGCCTAATTAAAAATTACGAACTTTAAAGAGCTATCGAGATATCTAGGTATTTTGCTAATTATAAAGGATTTATCTAAGAATATTTATTTTTTTATGTCATGAGTACTTGCACGAAGGATCCTTTAGTCGTAAGATGTTCTAAATTTATTTAATTTAAAGAAGCTTCACTTCTTTAGTCAACATCCTACATCTGATGAGGTTTTACACGATTATATATATTACTACTATTTGGTTTAAGCTAATCATCTGTTTGCAAAGTCTGACGCTTTTTCGGTACAGAATTTTAAAGTTTGATTTTAGTTTGGAACAATTTTTTATTTTTTATTTTTATAGACTTAATATTATATCCAATGTAAATATTTTGTACTCTTTTAACTGTTTACCCGTAAAACGGTAAAGTTGAATTTATACGTGGTTTTTAGACAAGTGAACTAATTTGAGCCCGAAATAATAAAATAATCGAGGAATTATTGAATACTTAACCTTAAGATGCAATACTTAGCCTTAAGCTTTTGTATAAAATGTAGTGTAAGTTTACTAGAAAATTTGTGCCCTCTACAACGATAATTGAGTTCACTATTTATAGCTATGCCTAGGGATGGATGTCCTAGGGTCGTGCCCTTCTTGAATGTCAATTATGATGGTCATTGATGAAGATGTAACGGTAAACATAAATGACAAATTCCCTGTAACGAATAATCGCTCTTAACGCCACGGAATATTTTTTATTTAATGCTACCGAGCACAGAATATTTATCACATCTTTATGAGCGTTATTCTTTTTAGTGACAAATGAAACAGTTGCCTTCGGTCTTTGGCCATCCCCCAGTCGTGGGTTCCACATGTCCATCCCACAGTCGTGGGTTCCACATGTCCTTCTTTTGGACGGCCACGTGTCATAGCTAGCATATTCCATACTATACACTAACATGTTGGATAGTGGTCACATAGATGTTAATACTTTAGGTTTCTGCTAATTATAATTATAAATACTAACTAATAATAGCTACTGCCAATGCAAATTTATATTTTTTTGGGTCTTTTATATATAATTATTTATTCAAAGTCTTGTATAATAATATAAATATTATTTTATAAAATCGAATATTACATGACTCATCAGTATACACGCACAAATGAACTAGTATATTAAAATATATTGCTAGTACTAAAATTGTCACAAGTAAATTTAAAAAAATATATGATATGTTGAAACACATTAATATGATAAATAATTTTACAGTTAAGTTCAGGAAATGACTGAAGGGTTAAATTAGGAAATATTTAGGGGGGTAGAAGACAATCTCAAAAGTGGAGGGTGGAATGGGTAAATTTTTTATAGTATTAAAAGAGGATAAAGAAGAAGAAAAGAATCCGCTAGTGGCATAGCCCATAGGAAAGAAAAGCCAGAAAATGGCCCCTGGTTTTCTGTTATTCCGCTCTTTCCTATTTCAATATCAATTCTACGGCCTCTCCCACCCATTTATACTTAGTCAAGAACGTAGAATTTCACATCTATTTCTTTCTTTTAACCCCCTTCAACTGCAACATCATCATCAACAACATTATACTGCACATAGTAAATATCAAGAAGAAAAAAATCCAAATAAAAATATATACCCAGATCATTGTTTTCCTGTTTTCTTATTGAATTTCTTACCTACCTTCTGATTTCAAGTTAAAAATTGGTAAAATGAGGATTGAGAAAAATGTAAGTGAAAGAAAAGGTAAGGAGTACATCGACTGGAAAAAGAACCGGAGAAGACAGAGGAGGGTGTCGCCGGTTCAAATACTCTATGAAACTTGCAAACAAGTGTTTGCTAATTGTGGTCCTGGTGTTGTACCATCTGCAGAAAACATTGAACGTCTCAAGGCAGTTTTAGGTATGTTGGTTGATTCATTTGAGCTTATTTTTTTAAGTGTTGAATTGCTGTTGCGTCATAAATTTGGAAAATTCCATTTTTATTATGTCGGACTAAAGTACAAGTTTTGAGCTACATAGTACAACCCCTCCAAATATGGTGCATGATCTGGCATTGTCATTTTACACTACCCCGTTTTAAAGTTGATTTTGACATTGTAAATTGTTACCAATTCTTTTCAGGCTTATCCTTTTACTGCTATTTCCCTTTTAAGATGATGACAGCTATAACTGGAATCAATTTGCTTTAACTCAATTCCAAAGTTATATCAGCACTTAGGGAAAGTTTCAATTTTTAAGTTCTTTAAATTACAATATACAGAAAAATGTCTAAATGACCCAAGAATTATTTTTTTAAACTGTTATACTGCAATGTTTGTGGGTGTTACATGAATTTAAATTTATCCTTTTTGTAGCTTAATTTAGATGCAGTGTTGTATTGGTTATGGTGTTGGCACATTACCAAATTTATAAAGAAGTTGATTTTGATAAGGCTGATTGATGATATATCCACTTTTAGCATGACAGGATCTCGTTGTCTTTTCACTAACGTTTTGTTTTGCTCTCCCATTTGAGGAATAGCTTTCTGTTTTTGGGCTTCAAATGTTTGGATAATGCTACTTCAGATATAAATGTTCTTTCTTTCTAAATTTACTTATAAAATAAATAAAAGGATTAACTGTTTTCAGGATAAGGTGTTTGAGATTTATCTGCATTGTGTTTTCTATTGTGATTGTTATCTTGCTATGTAATCTTTTCCCTTTATTTCAATATTTTTTCTTGCTTGTATAGTTCAGGGGTTTGTGAGGAGGGGTGGGGGTGACATGAAAATTTAGTGGAAGAATGAGAATTCTTCAATAATCTTTTTTTGGCAAGTAATGATTTACTACATTATTTTGATGTGAATACAAAGTTATCCTTCCTTTGCTACATTATTTCACCTTGTGCTGATTTAGGCACAATGTATTTACCCTCTTTACGTGGTACGCAGATACTATGGTTGAAACAGACGTTGGCTTGAGTCCGAATTTGCCATATTTCAAGTCAACCACATATGATACACCTAAAATAACGTACCTGCACCTCCATGAGTGTGACAAATTCTCGGTATGTACCAATTTTTTCACTAATACTGAATTGGCTTTTTCTCTTCCTTCAGTGTACTCTTGATTCGGCGCTTAAAGTCTTTTACTTCTTTGGCAGATTGGTATCTTCTGCTTGCCTCCATCAGCTGTGATTCCACTTCATGATCATCCTGGAATGACAGTTTTTAGCAAGCTTCTTTTCGGAGAAATGCACATAAAATCGTATGACTGGGCGGACAATATTCTCCCTGCTGAATCAACTCCAAGTGCTAATTATCCTTTAGACAGTAAGTTCTTTAGCTGGATATTGCTTCGTTGAACTGTTCTCTTCACTCATTGTCACTTGGAAATAGGAAGCATGGCTTTAAACTGGGGCCTAATATATAGCTGGTTGCCTTGAAAGAAGAGTATAACTGAGTGTACAGATATCATCATTCTACATTTGTTTCAATGTATTAAGTCCTAAAAAAGGTTGTCTTGCTTCTTAAACTCATCCCCCCCCCCCCCTCTTGTTATATGGGGTCAAAGGGGTTGTTTCTTGTTTTCTGTAAATTTTTTGGTGCACCATAAGGTTTTGAGGTTTCAGTTACTATAATAGAGTACCTGTTAGATTTATTAAGGAGAAGACTAACTTCTTTGGTCATATATTTTTATCAGATGGGGTTGGGGATTCAACTGGACTTCGTCTTGCAAAAGTGAAGGTGAATTCTGTGTTTAGAGCGCCATGCAAGACCTCTATCCTCTATCCATCTGATGGTGGTAATATGCACTGTTTCACAGCAAGAACAGCGTGCGCAGTACTAGACGTGCTTGGTCCACCATATTGTGATCCTGAAGGTCGCCACTGTCAATATTATTATGACTTCCCGTTAGCCAATATCTCAGGTACACCTCTTGTATTTTCTCAAAATACTCGACTCTAGCTTTGATTTGTGACAAGAAAATGGACTGTTGACCTAACTCATTCTCAAAAGCTAGCTTTGTTAAGTCAGAATTGTCCGGAAATCCATATAAAGAGACAACAATCCATTCCCTTAACCAGTGTGCATACTTATGCACACCTATTGTATGTCTAGGACGGATGAATAATATAACTCGGGGTCCAATATGGGGGACCAAAAATAGGGTAGTGTCTACGCAGACCTTACCTCTATCACGATGGAGTAGAGAGGCTATTTCCGATACTCTCAGCTTAAGAAAACGAAAAAGACTGAAAGAGACAATACATCAGTACCATCAATAGAAACCATAGAAATAATAAAAGCATTATAAGAACAAAAAAATAGTTGAAACACAATAACAATTACCAGTGAAAAAAAAAAAGGGAGAATGACGTGAAGACAACATAAGCCACTAGAAATCTAAGACAAACCCTATCAGTCTATCCTCGTCCCGGAACGAAGTAGAAAAATGTTCAACTATCTCCTAAGCTACAACCCTAATCCTCGATCTCCGTACTTTCCTATCAAGGGTCATGTCCTCGGAAATCTGAGGTCGCACTTTCCTATCAAGGGCCATGTCCTCGAAAATATGAGGCCACGCCCTCTGGCTCTAACACCATGGTAAGAAAATAAATCTGATCTTATCTCAAACAAAAATTAGTTCATGTTGTGAGGATTGTTTAAGACCCGTATAAAGAGATTACCAGCTCATTCCCTCAATTTGTGAGACAGTACGACCATTTTTAAGTAGTTGCGTTGAGATTTGATTCTCCAAATTGTTGGCTGGTGGGCAGACAGTTCCAGGAACACTGGTGCTTATAAAATTGTCAACTTGAGTTGCTTCTTGATTTTATTCTATTTTTGGAATCACATGATTAGACAATAAGGATAGTCTATTTAGCCTTTTCTTGAATGGTGTCGGATAAATATGGTAATTTGATTTGATTGTACTTGATTAACATTTTCAGTACGGCTCTAGCCAGTTCATGGAAACTTGTATATCCGACATTATCCATCAACATGAAATCCTAAAATCCTAATGTTTGGTTTTTGTCCTTTTCCCCTGAATTTCAGTGCCTGAGGAACAGCGCGCCGGCGACTATGCATGGCTGAAAGAGAGGGAGAAACCTGAGGACTTAACTGTAGTTGGAGCATTGTACAAGGGTCCAAAGATAATTAAGTGATCTAAAGAGAATTTCCTATGAATGTCAACAACAGCTAAGTGAAGCAGAAAGAGAAAGTCTCTCTTTCTTTTTTTTCTCTTGTTTTTCCTCCTTATTTTTTCTTTGTTTTCCTTTGGAGGGGAAAGGGGCCAATCTTCCTAATGTACATATTCAGACAGGAGGAAACAAACAACGGTCAATCCAACCAAAAATGGTTGGAGAAAATTTGATGAAGTTGTGTCTTTTAACCTCTACATATTTCTAACATGTAGTTATCTTTTAGAATTTGCTTACGGCTTCATGGGAAAATTTGTCCTAGAGTTTTACATTAGTCGATTTTATGTGAATACAACCATAATAAGTTAGTGGTGACAAGTCTGTACCTTGTCGAGTTTGGTTATGATGCAAAACAAGTTTATCTTGGAAAAGGAAAAACCTACTTAGCACCATGTTTGCCAAAACTAGCATGGGTTCTTCATGAAATTTGGTTAAGGGATTCATTTTCTCTAAGCTTTCCATGAATAACTAGTACAGTAATTTTTATTAAGGTTTTTTTTGAGTTAACATGTTGTAACTTAAACTGAAAAAGTAATAAACTAAAATCATTGAAGTGTAAGTCGTACAGCTTAATAGTCTTTTACAATTGTGTTCTATAAATTCTGTGGCTAAACTAAAGGTACAAATTTAAATATTTGTTTCATTTCAATTTGTTTGGACCTTTTCCGAGTACGAGAGTCAAACTAAATTATTTTTTGTGCGGTTTAAATTTTTGATATAAAATTTATTTTAGGAACTATATAAAAAGTATCATAATAGTTAATAATTTAAAATATTCAAAATTATTTGCAAAAATATAATAAAAGAAAAACTTGTTTACGTTCATTATTTTTTCAAATAGGAAGTATAAAAGTTTAAGGAAAATACAAAAATTTCAATCCCACTTTCACATTATCGAATGATTACCTTTTGACTAATTTTTGTATGAAATACTTTCTTGACGTTTAATGTATCATACACACTAGCCTAGCCGATTGAGTTGGGATCGGACTGTAGTGGTAGAGAGATTTGTAATGATAATTATGAGATTAGCATATAATAGTTATTTATTTATTTTGTCTGCAACCTAATTACTCCCCTCATTTCAAATTTGATGAGATACTTTCCTTTTTAGTTTGTCCAAAATAAATGACACATTTTTAAATTTGGAAATAATCAACTTTAAACTCTTTATTTTACCTATTTTACCTTTAGTGAAAAGCTTTTATAACCATACAAATATCATGATCTCACAAAGCTTTTAATACCACAAATTTCAAAAGTTTTTTTTTAAAAACGTCGTACCGAGTCATACTACATCATCTAAATTAAAGGGATGGAGTAGTAAGAAACAAATGAAAAAAAAAAAACTTAAGTCGTAGGAATTAGATCAGATCCAGACACACATTATTGTTGATCCACAAAAGGTGCAAGTACAGAAACAACCATTAGGTACTAGTACTACATTGCACACACGCATATGAACATAACTGTTACTAATAAAAATGGGCAATAATTAATGTCTCCATCGTGGTAGCAATTAAGAGTAAATACATTCTGATTAGTTATATTACTCTTATTAATAATGGGTCCTCATAAGATGGATAGCATTGTAAAACGTAACATGGCTTAGCTTAGTGCTCTTAAGTACTAGTCATCTTTTCTACAATTCTTTTCCTCGGTTGTCTAACACGTTTAGTCGTTTATATATACATACATATACATACTCCCCCCTCTCTTCGATTTCATGTAAAGGTGCTTGGTTGGTACGTAGTTTAAGGAAATTAAAGAAGACTTTTATATATAGGTAATTTGAGGTTTGACTTAACCGGTTTCTCCTAGGAATTTATAGGTTAACCTATCAAAATTGTTGAGAAATTGGAAAGAAAATCATATACTTAGAGTGATGTCTAGTTATTTACAAACTAATAATTGAGGAATAGAAAACATAAAGCTATACATAATAACATAAAACTGTAAAAATAGGGGTAATATCCAGAAACATAATTTAGATAAAATAAGTAACTTACATGTTTACAGGAGAGAGATTTCCCTTTCTGAAAACCCGAAAAAAGTTTACTGGACTTAGGAATTAAAAACTTGCACACATAAGCATAAGGATTTATTTATTTTACAGGCTTGAGGTAGGAACTACTAAGGCATACATAAGGAAATATTTTACAAAGGTATAGTACAAGGTGTTGGAGAATGGTGGGTGATGAAGGAGAGTGTTTGGATGGCTTGGCTTTCTTGAGAGTGTTCTTTCTTGTAATCTTTCTCTTCTTCATTCTTCCCCTTTTATAGCTAATTTTTTTAAGCGGATTTGAAAATGGACTTCAAACATTTCCAGAAATCTTTCTTGTCTAGCCTTGTAGGGTACTTCATTGGGCCCCATCCTGTTTTTACAGTTTTATGTTATTATGTATAGCTTTATGTTTTCTATTCCTCAATTATTAGTTTGTAAATAACTAGAAATCACTCTTAGTATATGGTTATCTTTCCAATTTCTTAACAATTTTGATGGATTAACCTATAAATTCCTAGGAGAAACCAGTTAAGTCAAACCTCAAATTACCCAAGAATGGGTATATACGTTAACCGTGGCCAGGGTAAGGTTAAAGAAAAAAGAGTTAAGAAAAGACTATTTTTTTAAAAAGTTGGGAAGAAGAGATGAACATAGTGAAGAATTAAAAAAAAAAAGAGTATAGAAGGGGTAATTTCAGTTCATAATTTTGATGATACTGTAACAATATAAGTTTACAGAATAAGAGAGAGAGAGTACCGATGTAACGACCCGACCGGTCGTTTTGAGCTTTTGCACTTCGCTCGCCAGTTCTCGGGCATGACTAGCCCCGTGTGATGTATTATGACTTATGTAAACCGTCGGTTTTGGTTTTCAAGGTAACCGGAATGAATTTTGAAGAAACAGTTCTCAGTTTGTAGCTTAAGATTTGAAAGATGTGACCAAGATTTGACTTGTCGGTATATGATCTCGGATCGGAATTTTTATGATTGGGTTAGCTCCATTAGGTGATTTGGGACTTAGGAGCGTGATCAGAATGTGTTTTGGAGGTCCGGAGTAGATTTAGGCTTGAATTGGCGAAATTGAGTTTTTGACGTTTTCCGGTTGATAGGTGAGATTTTGATATAGGGGTCGGAATAGAATTCCGGAAGTTGCAGTAGCTCCGTTATGTCATTTGGGATGTGTGTGCAAAATTTCAGGTCATTCGGACATGGTTTGGTATACTTTTTGATCAAAAGCGGAATTCGGAAGATTTTAGAACCTTAGGCTTGAATTCGATGTGTTTTGGTTGTTTTGATGTTGTTTGAGGTGTTTTGAAGGTTGGTTTAAGTTTGAATAGTAGTATGAGACTTGTTGGTGATTTTGGTTGAGGTCCCGGGGGCCTCGGGGTGATTTCGGGTGGTTGACGGAAAGAATGGAAATTGGAAATGGCAGCTGAAGTTGTAGTCTGCTGTCATAACTGCACCTGCGGCTAGGGGACCACAGGTGCGGGCTCGCAAAAGCGCAGAGGGAGCCGCAGATGCGGCCAAGTGGAAGGTTGGCTGGAACCGCAGGAGCGGTCGAGGAGGCGCACCTGCGATGGCGCAGGTGTGATGTTTCAATCGCAGAAGCGGAAAGTGGCCGAGGAAGTGAGGACCGCAGAAGCGGTAATAGGGGCCACAGATGTGGAATCCCTGGACTAGAAGTATATAATATTTCCTTCGCGAATTTTTGGCTAAGTACTCCATTTTTGAAGACGAGAACGAGCTAGGGCAGTGAATTCAAGGGGAAAATCGAGGTGAATCAGTTGGGTAAGTTCCCTAAGCTTTCATTACTTGAGTTTATGATCATTTTTCTATTGGTTAATCATGATATTAGTGGAAATTAAGGGTACAAATTGAGGAAACTAGGGCTTGGAAACTTAGGCCTTTGATTGAGGATTTGAAGGACCAATTGTGGTCGGATTTCAAAACTTTTGATATGTATGAACTCGTGGGGAGATAAGGAATCTATTGATGTGAATTTTATCGAATTCCGAGACGTGGGTCTGGGGGTCGGGTTTTGGTAATTTCGGGAATTTCGTTGTTTTTCGATTGTTTTCGAGTGGACTTTGTTCCCTTAGCATATTTTGATGGTTATGTTCTGATTGTGCCTAGATTTGGGGCATCTGGAGGCCGATTCGAGGGGCAAAGGCATCACGAGCTAGAGTTTGGGCCGGATTGAGGTAAGTAATGATTGTAAATACTGTCCTAAGGGTATGAAACCCCGGATTTCACATCGGTGTGCTACCTTGAGATGACACACACGCTATATGATGAGCGTGGGGTCGTGCACCGTTGGGGATTGTGACTTGGTCCATCCCGTACGACTCTTAAGTTGCGTATTTTACTTGAAAACTATTTGATATTGTTATATTTTGGAAAAATATTATTGTGTTTGGGGCTAAATGCCGTGTCTGGGCCTTGTGCCGATTGTTTGGACCCTTAGGGGCTTTTACTACTATTTTTACCTCACTGTTTTAGCTAACGTTTACACTCAGTCATGCTATTTTCTTACTGTTTTCATAACTCGGTTTTATTCACTCCTTTGATTTCATAAAATGATTTTTGAGCCGAGTACTTGTTTTACTGTCAGCCCGAGGGGCTTGAGTGAGATCTGACTGAGTGAGGCCGAGGGCCTGTGTCGTGAGGATGTTATGGGATCGGGCTGCACGCCGCAGCATGTGGTACGGATTTGTGATATGTGAGAGGCCGAGGGCCTGATTTATTATGCCACGAGGTGGCTTGTGATTGATACGAGGCCGAGAGCCTGTTTGATTATGCCGCGAGATGGTTTGATATTGCGCTTGGGCCGTAAGGGGCCCCTCCAAGAGTCTGTACACCTCCAGTGAGCGCGGGAACCCAGTGTAGTGATCCTGTTTATTATGTGAGGCCGAGGGCCGGATTGATTATGCCACGAGATGGCTTGTTATTGCGCTTGGGCTATAAGGGGCCCCTCCTGGAGTCTGTACACCCCTAGTGAGCGCGGGTACCCAATGTGTGTGATGTGTTGTAGCCCGATGGGCTGTTGTTGTTTCATATTGGAGCCCGAGGGGCTGTTCTTGATCTATGTTGCCCGAGGGGCGGTTCTTGATTCATGTTATGCCCGAGGGGCTGATTACGAGTGATTGCGAGGTATCCCGAGGGGCTGGTTTACGTTTCTATCATTATTACTCACCGATTTTATCACTCGTTTTGAAACTATTGAAAG